CCTTTGGCCTCTGGATCTGCTTGGAAAAGGTTGTCACCCCCCCGCAGCTTTGATCCTTTTGGGTTGGCCTCACCCTGCTCAGTTGCGAGCATGCTGTTGTGCCCACCTCGCATGCACCCCGACATCAGGAGAGCGGTGACAGGAGCGCATGGGACACCTTAAGGGCTGCTAGCCATGATCTACTCAATATATGTATATATATATGTATGTATATCTATTTATGTATGTATATCTATGCATATACATGTATAAGTTCCGAATCCTGCATTTTGTGTCATTCGGCGTGAGAGTACTTGCCTTTGAGTGATGGTTCTGTGTACCACATTCCCATCCAACCCTCCAAAACGAATTATGTATTCATCACTTTAACCTGCTGGTGAATGACAGCAGCTGTCCAGGAAATAGCCATTGACAACTCCATGTACAGAGACTTACAAAGAGGACAAAGTTGATTTTCCCATCTTGGTTGCATGCACATGGAGACCTGAGTGTTGTGATGTGCAAACGTACTATTACTGTAAGGTGCTTGTTCATGGACTGTGGGAAAGCAGGGATGTGATGGGATACGTGGATTCGTTGGCTGAGACGACTGAAGAGAATCTCCCGATGGCTTGCAAGGCACATCCAGTGGTCCTCCAAGGTCCTCCTATTCTCAGCATGCCACCCCAAAGTGGACAGAAACTTCATGGTGGTGAGGTGAGGTCCCTGTGCTCATCGCTCGACATGACCATTTGCTCGTTTTCACCAGGAGTGGGTCATTCCTGTACTTGACAGGTCGCCCCGCCACTCGACGGAAGTCACGGAAGTAACGGTCGTTGTTGTTGTGTTTGGGGAAACTGCATGCCAGAGCAGCTGCAAGTCTGAAAACTCCTTTTGTGTTCGCATTGCTTGGAACCAAAAACATTTTGGATGCATCTGGTGGTTGTTGAAACGCATAGCCAGGTTTTCACAGCCATAAAGTTGGAACACAAATTTGATCAGACCTGATTTGTTGTACTGATGAGGTCCCACCACACAAAGCACTCACAAAGTAGATCGTAGGTCTTTGGATGTTCAGATCACGATGAAGACTTCCTACGACGATTTTGATACAAATCAACCCAGCAATACGTTGGGGGCCGTGTTGCCAGGCCCAATCTGACAGCGGAACAAGCGGGTCAATCATGAATGGATGCCAAACTAAAAGGGTTGCTTCTCCCAACACCCATGCCTCGGGGAGAACGATGAATTGCTCTAGCGCGCTCCTTTAGATTGAAAGAAGGACGCGCGTGGAATGCTGTTCAGGATTTGATAAGGAAGATATTTCCAGTACACATGTTTCGAGTGTTTTCACCAGGTGAAGATGGTGAAGTGGGTGCCCTTCAAACATGGAGGAACCAAGTGCCCACAAACACCAGATCCATCGTTCCCGGAGAGTGCAAGTCCATCTCTCCCTTGTCCGGGTGCGAAAAGCCAGGGAGACACTGGAAGATATTGATCATAGACAAACATGCGGGCTTTTGGATCCTTCTGAAGTTTGGGTTTGGACATGAAGAGCCATTAAATCATGATCTCCTCCCAGTATTTACATTGGAGTTTCCCCCGCTCGACTGCAAGACAAACAGCAAGAATCAAAATCTATGGTGAAGGCAAGGGCCCTTGGGTCCTTCTCGCTTTTGCACTTCTTTTCCCAGAGAGTGCCTTGTGCTTGCATCACATGTCCTCTTGTAACGATTCTGGTGGTTTCCTTTGACTTCCACCAAGCACGGGCAACACGAAGCGTCTGGTTTTGCGGGTAGCTGTGATGCTGGGAGGTCTTCATGGAAGCTGGTGCAGAGGTGATTCTCTTGTCCCTTGGTTCTGGGGCAGAGGAGAATGACCAACTCGTTTTACTGCATCTTGCTTCACCCGTTTCCGAAAAGCAAGTGCCATTATCCCAGAGGGACCCTTCCTGATGATGACTGTTGCCATCTCTGCAGCTGGTTGTTCTCAGTTGGACTACCTTGCTCAGGACATTTGGACGCTGTTTTCCAGCCCCACCTGTAGCTGCCACATTGGGAAGAATGGATGCAGGATATGCAGCACATTTGTTGGTGACAATTGAATGGGTATGGGCCGGGTATGACGCCATTATGGGGCCAGTACCTATTATGGACAAGTTTGAGAGTGAGGAGCATCAAGTTTCTCAGCTTCTTTCAATTTGGTGTTCACCATTGTCATTGTGACTGTGTTTCGACTCACATCCGAAAAACTAGATGCTGCAGCAACCAGGTCAAAGGTCTGACAATGAAGGGTATACTCACGGGTACTTCTGATCATTTTCAACAGGTCCCCTGCGTTTAAACCAATTGCGAGTTAACATTGACACAGCCTCACTTGCACTCCCTCGAAAAGCCATTGGCTGCAGAAATCATGGGACCTGGTTTCCCTGCTAATCGAAGATAGCTTCACCTCACAGAGCATCATCTTCCTAGCCGTAAACCTTCTTTGTCTTGCTACAATATGATAATATGAGTCTTCCGCATCCCCACATGTGTGATCCCAAACCGCCTGAGATCCACCATCCATCCGAAGAAGTCCACGCTGCGCCGGCGTGCCGGTCCTTCGTCCGGTGCCGGTCGAGGTTCCTGATCATCTCCACGATTCCGGGTCACCTGAAGCCACTCCGGGAGACAGGCGACACGGTCTATCACCCGCTGTAGACGGTCTATCGATCCAGTGATGCCTGTATTCAAGAGGTGGAAGAAGTTTAAGCATGTTCTCCAAGGGAGGGTTAGCAGAAGTTCCTAAGACGTGTTAAGGTGGAAAAGATGCAGTCGTGGGAGATTTGGTTGTGATCCTTCTTTTTAGTACAACGTCTTTGGAGGGAGAGAGAGAGAGAGAGAGGGAGAGTGCGAGTCCAAGTGGGCTTGATTGCAAGTTCGTCAATTTTTGTCATGTATAGTGTATATATATAAATATGCACAGTATATATATATAATATATATATATACATATCAATCTATGCAGAGTGAACCTGCATCTCAGTCCTTAAGGGTTGCGAGATCCAAAAAGATCCAAAGAAGTTCATGACTCCAGAGTTTGTAGTCCTTCCACCCGGTTTTGAGACATACACAGACACCATTCAATAATCACCAATATGTCTTAGAGGACCACGATCAGAAAGAGTATGGAATGCATATTCCGCAGAAACTTGGACGCAGCTAAAAAGCTCGGCCAGTCACCGGTTCATGCGGATCATGAATGATCGTCATGAACCGAAACTCAAATTTGCTTAGAACTTACCATTCAAAGCTACCTTACCAGCACCTAGCCGCCTAGCTTGGCACTCAATCAATGAATAAACAAGCAGGCTTGGTTGGCACCAGTGCTGCTAAGCCTGGGTGTTGAGCAGGCGTGAAACTAGAGACTTGAGCAATCTTCGTCCACAAGTAATTATGCACCCAGGCTTCTCAGTCTTCTCGTTCCAGGAGACTTCAAGCAGATGCTGCATCTTCTGAAGAACATCTCTATGGCTGGCGGTTGCCTCATGACCATTGGTGCCGTGCTACCCCAAATCGTGAGCTGAGTCGGATTCCCGAGCCGCATTAGCTCGGTAGAGATGCACATCTGTGGGCGAGGGCCAGGCAGATTCCAAAGCTCAGATTAGAATCAGAATCCTTTTATGTTCAAGAGATTTGACCATCTAGGAATCTAGGACAGATAGAAGAGTCCGCCGTAGTTGTCAAAACATAGGCGTCCTCCAGACGATCTGTTTCGATCATCGTGGATAGTGTTCCAGGGTGACTTCTGAAGAGATCTTCGTCACTGACCCAAATTGTGCATTCAGGGACAGTCGTGAAAGTGGAGTCTCCTTGTCTTTTGAAGCTTTCCATGGCAAAGGCAAGGTTTTCTGTACGCGTTGGGTGTCGGGATTTGGCCTTCCCCTTGCGGTGCAAAAGCGGGGACTCATGGACTCAGCGGGGGCGCTCCTGCAAAGTCCTGTTCCTTTTATCTCTTGCAAAAAGTATAAACAATTCTGTACCGCACCTCGTGAGTTGGTTGCGAAGATCTTGTTTAGAGCCGAATATGTACTGTATGTGAAACCACCCTGGGCGAGATTGAGTTCGTTGAGAACTGTTCAACTGACTTGTGAGGTCAAACAATGCCTCATACCCGTGACATAGGCACCTCACCTCTGGTGTCCAGTACTAACAACAGATAGACAGCTAAGGGACTATCCTTTGAGTTCAGACGGACTCTCAGAGAGATGAGAGATGAACCATGTTCACACCTACCTTGCTTTTTGGAGATGAATCGCTTTGTCACTCATCGACCACAGCCGTAGCACACTATGCCGTGACACCTGAAGTGCCAAGTGCCATGTTTGAGCTGGGACAGGGGCCGTTGATTTCAAGAAATGGAGCCGATCCGGTCTCCGAAGCTCCACGCCGATCGAACCTGCGGCGCTCCCCACAGCCCCGACCGGGGGTGTCGGGTGAGAAGCAGCGACAAAAGACGGACGATGCGACGAGGGGTGTGACTGTTGGTTCAATCAGAGGTGGACAATGGTGGACATCCATACGTGGGGACGGTAGGGAGAACCGACCAAACCCAAATGCGAGCTCAGTGAACCCACAAATCCACTTATATAAACTTCTTCTTGCTTTGTGCCGCAAGAGTGTCTTGTGTAGCAGAAGGCTTGATTCTTGGCATCTTTATGCTATGGTATATGTCATTAAAATTTATTGAAATACTAGTATAACGAAATAGTAAAAACATGTTATATTTAACGATACATATTTATTGAATAGTATATACTATTTATATTTCTCGGTGCGTCGCAGAACTTCCACAGAACGGGCGAAACTCCGGAAGACCAACGAGAGGGGAAGCCCCAAGAACTCTCAGTGTGAAGGAGACTTGGCCGGAAGCCAAAACACTCAGACGGGCGGATCACGGTCTGCCGAAGCTTCGATTAGATTAAATGATCTTGCGGGGTCAAACCGATCAGAGCCGAAGCACTGATGTTGGGGGGCCAGGAACGTGTTGGAGGCCTGCTGGTGGATGCCATCAACCTTCAGGCGACCGGGGAGTTTCCCACATGGATCGTGCGAGGACAGTGACTGTGATGTTTCTGTTCTAAGGATGCTCTTCCCAACAAAAGGACCTGCAGGACGTAGGTCTGATCATTTGATCAACCTGCTTAACCTTTTTTGATAGATGATGGGATTGTGACATTTGACGCATTCAAACTTTGATTCTGGATCGCTTGTCGAAGTCAAATTTTGACAAAAAGGAAATGAAAGCCTTGTTCTTACAGCTTGGCGTAGGGATCTAATGAAAGCACAAGCTATCCACCTATCCCGTGCGCAAAGTGCATGCAATCCATATTACCCTGATGCAGGGCCTTGGTGATTTACGTAAGCTTGAGCATGCTGGCACCCATGTAGATATAGGCAGGTAGGCACACCGCCTCCAATCACCTCCAATTGGTTTGTCCAAGCCGTTCAGGTGCTCAGAAAACGAATGGAGTCGGTTTGAACAAGCCAATGGCTGCTTGAAGCTTGCTAATGGAAATCGGAAGAAGGATGTGGATCACACTCACATAATGTGACTTGTTACAAGGCACTTGTTACTAGTAGCGATGCACTTGTTCCTAGTAGCTTCTTGTTACTACTAGTAAGGCACTTGTTAC